CCATCAGTGTATGAATGTGTGTTAATGGGGTGAGTGTGGCATGTAGTGTACAGTGCATTGAGTGGTTGAAAGAGTGGAAAGGCACTATATAAGTACAATCCATTTACCATTTACCATACTTCAATTCATGTGGCAAACATGAAGTTAAATGAAATGGCAATTCAGTCTGATTATCAGGCCATAGGCAGTGCCTGAAATAGCTCTGGTGAGGATGGCTATACTCACTATTAAGTCACCAATATTTTTTCCAAGGGGTATACAATAAAAGTCATGAAAGAAGTCTAAAAATAACTCGCTCTGATGCTTTGACGCAGGACCCAAACCCCACTAACAAGTTCAGTTTTTAGACCTCTGTATTTTTAAAACCCTGCGTAAGCAATGCTGGGGAAGTACTAATAAACCACTGCGTAACTGCATCTCAGTGTTAACATGTTGCTAGCTTAACACTAAAAAACAGCACTGAACATGTACTTTTTAAAAAGGATAAAAAAAACGGCAAAAGAATCAGGGTTAAGGTTGTGGTGAATTAGATTACTGGCCTTTTTTGGTCTAATTCAGGCACTGAACACAGGTAAATTGTATGTGTGTGTGCATGGTTATGGCAAGTAGAGCAGGTCAGTGTTGGATCAGGACAGGGGTTTGTAATGGATTTTTTAACTAGTGGGGTCCAACCCGTCTGATCTCTGCGTTTAACTTGGTGGGTACAACCTTATTACAGCATTACTGATAGAAATGATTGGATTGTCTGAGATGCCTCTTAACTCTTTGACCACAGCAGTTGTTGATTTTCTATGTCAACATTATGTCAGGTTTCCCTCATTGATCTGGTATGCATATTTGTATATGTCAACACGATTGACTGTCTTCGTGTTTGTCAAAGTTTATATCGGATGTTTGACTTTACTGAGAACACTGCCATCTTAGGAAGCAGAGGACAAATACAGCGGGAGAGAAAACAGAGACAAAGACAGGCAGAGTGGTAGCGCTCAAGAGAGTGTGTGAGGAGGGGGTGGGGTGGTGGCGAAATGTGGGTGTTGCTCATTAGTGGCCACGCTGCAGCAATTAGGGGGAACTGGAGGAGCATGCCAGTGTTTTGTAGCTAACAGAGGGGGAGTCGAAGGGGCGGTGGGGTGACTGGCCTATTGTATTGCAGCTTGTCGGGGAGGGAGGCAGCCAGGCATGGCATGCTTTGGTCCGCTTCTCACTACATGTGTGCAAAGGGGAGTGATGTTAACTGTCTCAGAGTAGCCTCCCCTCCATATGTTAGCATCATTATTGAAGTCAGGTTCAAACACTGAACCCACTGAATGGACTTTACTACTTGGCCGTATGGTAAAAGTATAATCCAAGAATAAAAGCTGATCTGAGAAGACACAAGTAATCAATAAATCTCTAGTGTCAAATTAAAGGTTTTTGGCCACCAAAAAGAACTTGTGTCTTGACAAATTAGTCAACCTTGTGTGGCTTATTTTTTGGGTGGCCCACTGCACTCTACAGGAAATATTTGTGTTATATTTTTCATATTGACAATCAATCCCATGCGCAAACCAACAATGGATGTAGTATGTGTATCCAAAGCCTGATACATATCATTCTTCTGTACCAAAGAGCTCCACTATCCAGCTCCACTGTCCAAAAACAATTAAAACCACCCTGCTGTCAGAAATACTAACCATAGCACCATATGTGTATTGATCTGCTGCTGATAGTCCTAAACATATGAACCTTTTCCTGATGTTTGAATAATGTTTGCTAACAATGTAGCAAAATATAAAAACGATATAATTGTGAGCTGTTTTTAAAGATGTATGTCTTCAGTAGAAACCACTGGACTTGGAGCTGAGAGCCACAGACAGTGTAGGGAGGTCAGAAAATATTGAGAAACATTGTTGGTTGTGGTCTTTTCATGGGATTTGCTGATACTATACAACACAAAATAACACCTGCCCAATCCTTCTAGAATCTAAAGAGCTCAGAACTCCACAAAGACTGCTCTAAATCTATCTTACTTAGATACATTTTTGTACTTTTAAATCAGCCATTCAAAGTGTAATTCAATTCAAAGTGCACCGTGGGAGTTCACTGAATTTGTTTGTTAAATTGCTGGATCAACAACATAGAAAAATAATCACTTATTTCTTGGTATATGGCCTAATTTTACACTAATTTATTCAAATATTTTAGTTTTTATTAGATATCTTGCCCATAGAGGACACATGCATCTTCAGAAGTAATTAGTGTCAGTATGTTGAAACAAGACAAAACGGGCAGATCACTGCATTTTTACCAAAAAAACAAGACTCTTGATTCTTGAAAATATTTCAAACAAGTTTTTTTCTTACTTCTTACAGTTCGTAAGAAATATTTTCAATGGTAGCCTTAAAATATGATTTAAAAAAAAAGTTTTACAGTGAATCCACTATGAATAATTACAAATAGATATATGAGCCCGTTAGAAGCAGTGGCATAAAGGAGTATGTCATCAACCCTCCTCAGTGAAGGTGTGAAACCACCATGTCTTGTGTTGACCCCACCAATCAGAAGCCAGAGTGTGGATGACCTTGCCCCCAAGGCTGCGGAATGAGGAACGTTAATGAAGCTCAGATAAAGGTGCTAATTTGATGGGAGGGAGTAAAGTATGTGTGTGTGTGTGTGTGTGGGCAAGAACATTCTCTGATGTATCCTGTATTGGCAAAAACCAAAAAGAGAAGAATATAACAAGGTATGTCTTCTTTCACTGATCACAGATTCAGTGAAGTGTGGAGTTTCTAAAAAGTTACAAATGCGCTGCTGTCAGGTCTTTTTACGTACACGCTGCCAAAGGCAGAGCTGCAAGGATACGCGGATATGACTGGCGTGCAACAAAAAAGAAAGACAAAAACAAACGGAAGCATTGCCAAAGTGTGTAATGGAACAATTAACACTGAAATCTTGTTTATATCCAACAAATTCAATATTTAGAGTATTGAACTAAAAATAAGTGCAGTCATGTTTTTTTCATTTGCACTTGCAACTCATGTTTTTCTTACATTTAATTGGAAAATAGTTAGTGAGAAACATCTATTTAATTGCTTGACTCTCTCTTAGCACAAATGCACATGTGCCCAAAGTCCAAAGTTTAATGACACCATGAACAAAAATGTTTCCAGCCCCGACTGTGCATACAGAGGTACAGTATGGAGAGTCCTGCCCTAACTCAATGTATTTCATAGAAATTAATAGAGGTAGGACTGAGTCATTGTTTTGCAAGTCACAAATAAGTCTTGAGTCTTTGCACTCAAGTCCTAAACAAGTCATAACGCATTCACCAAATATAATTGAAAATATTATTAGAGTAATATATTATAGAGGCTATATTATGCTCTTATGCTTCAGTTTCATATTTTGATATGGGGGTCTAATAGAATAGGTTCCCATGCCTTAAATTCCAAGTCGAGTTGCAAGTCCTTTTTGATTTTGTTAAATCGAGTGTAAAGTCATCAAATTTCTGACTCAAGTCTGACTCAAATCCAAATCCATACCTCTGGAAATTAAGGTAGGCTCTAATCTTCCAACAGAACCAGGTTCTGTCCTGGACACACGTGCGCACACATATATCTTTTGGGTAGGTTTTAGTGTGAAAGGACAGATACATACATAAAAGTGGTGGCACTGATAAGATGAAAACAGAAACTCACCGACAGAATGGAAAGCAGCTCGTGGATGGGGAGGTCAGGCTTTAGTCGTTCTTTAAACATGCGGACGGTCTGATGCTTCAGGTAGTAATAGGAGGCGATACGACCGTAAGTCATTGGCTCAATGGTCAGATCATCCTGGAGAATTAATGGAAACAAACATTTCACAAACTTGATCTCATATTAAACAAATTTGGCTCATTTCATCATTCAGACTACAAACCTACTTTAAAAATGATACACGCACCTCTTTTATCTCTATGCAGTAAGAGCACTCCAGGTCCCGCAGGCTTCTCTCCACCAGGTTGGACAGGTATTTGTTAATGGACTCGTGGCTGATGTCCTCTAGGCTGTAATAACTAAACAACACAAGACATACAAAAACGAAACATCAGTGACCATTATGTAAAAATGCAGAAGGAAGTCTGTTTGCCATACTGTATATTGTTCTGTTAAACTGAGAACTTTTATTGTTTTACTCGCTTCATAGTTGCTCTTATTCAGGGCATTTAAGCAGCTCAATCAAGGGCAAATCTGGGCAAATCTTTTGCAAGGCGTGAGAGATTTGTGATTGTGGTGAATTTTGAGTTTGCAGTACTGTCTTGACATTGCTGACCTTTGAGGGAACGAACAACTGGAGCAGTGGCAAATCTGGAGAAATACTCATGGGGTGGCACAGAGACATGCTGATTTAACCACAGATAATCACATATATCAACATTTGCTTGGAAAAGAAATGAAGATATGTAAGCTCCAAAACATTATTGTGGCACATTAGTAAAACACTGAAAAGAAATATCTAAAGCTGGCATTAGGAATCAATAAACTGTTTTATTTCCAAATGTTCAGAGATTTCTCCAAATGCATGTCTTTTTTCATTGAACTTGTGGCCATGACAGATCATTAAAGTATATGTGTTAAGTTCAAATTTTTGACATATTATTTTTTAAATTAATATCAATTAACGTGTTGAGTTAACCAGATGTGTATCAATTCACGTTATGTATGGTATTCAGTAATACTGTCATGATACAGTTTTATTATGATTTACACAGTAAACTGAACTAATCTAACTACTGCTTTAAGGATAAACCAAAACTGGGTTTGTCCTCAACTGTTGAAGTAACTCAGTCTGTACTGATATTACAGATTGGCTGATGTGAAGTAGTCGAAGGCATGCATACACCACTGCAAACTGTCTGGATAATGTTACCAACATGTACACAAGGAGCACAACCAGCTTTCTCTATGTTCCATGTAAACATCATATGATAAAAACCAGGATAAGTCTTAGAACTGGGATGCCAGACTTGACTGGAGTATCCTTGACTTAGGTTTTGTCTCCTCAATTATGTAATAGCCATGATGGAACCTTACTGATGATGAAACCTCATTAGGGCCTAATGGAATACCAAAATAACAGTGGTAAAATGGCTTGCCACTACTGTATCTACACACTTTTTCTGGTTAAAGTCGTGTACACACTGTTGTTTTGTGAAGAAAAGCCCCAGTTGAAAGAAAAATGGCCAGCCCTTGCCAGCAAATGATTCCCAGGTTAGACGGCTATTAGCTGAAATAAGACAACCAGTGGCCAAAATGGGTTCCATGCTCAGCTCTGCTAAGTAAGAGCTACCACATGAGGCTCAGCAGAAGTGTAATCAAAGACAATCTTCATTAGCTCATAATGCCAATATTTGTGCATGGTGTGTGCAAGTCAAATAAAAGTGCAGAGAAACCAGGCATGGTTTCATTAAAGCTGGTAGAAACAGATGCTAAAAACCCTAAAGGTATGTTTGCAAGGGTGGAAAAAACCTGTTTAGTAATGTAAAATATGTCTTGGTTAAGGTGGGGAGTTGTTCATTACTGGTGGTTTTTGTGCTTTAAGTACCATCTGGTTGTTCTGTAGTGTCAATTAATGACCATATTTCATGCTTTCATATAAAAATGAATACAAGAAGTTAAGAATTATAACTGGGCTTCCCAATGGAGAGTCACAAATGGGATGATAAGTAATCATTTGGAAATTGTATCAAGTGTACATTGCAAAAAAGTCTACATGAAACCTTCCTTTTGTTTGTTTTAGAATGTTGCAAGCTTACATGAAATACAAATCAGCTTTTAGAAAATTATGCAAGTCTTTATACTGTATCCATGAATACTTAGTGGCCAGTATTCCTTTTTAGGCCCTGTTGCCAATAATTCTGACTCTGAAAACACACACAGATGTGGGGTTCGAGGAATGGCTGCTGACATTGCTAAAAGTCGAAATATTGTATGTATGTAGTTGATGCATTAAAACCTTTCAACAATTAAAGGGAGAGTGGCATATTCCTTAAACACACTTGTATTACCATCTACCTAGCCATCTATCAATCTATCTATTTATTGATCTATTGTTTGAATACTATTAAAGTGACAGACATGTATTCATTAAATTCGTACTGTGTATGACCTACTGGCCATAAATGATGAGACCAAAATAAATATTGTGTTCACCTGATAACCAAAGTTGGTGCAAAGTTTTGTATAACACACCAAAAATATCTCTACATCAGATAAATGACAAAAACGCAATATAAGATAATTAACTATTTTACTCTACGAAGTGTAATACTCTAATATATGTCCTGCAGTGTGCCAGAAGTGGCCAAAACAACACACTTCTATCTTTACACTACTTATTATGGTCCAAAACGTGGCAGCAAGCTAAGCAAGGTAGCCCAGAAGTCCTTTTCCACAGCCACATCCTCCAGTTTCTCCAGGGGGATCCCTAGATGATCCGTGGTCTGATCAGATGTACAGTCCATCAGTCTGCTCTGGGGCGGCTGTGTAATCTCCTCCCAGTTAGATGGAATACTTCATGGGGATGAGGACTGCATTGGGATTGAGATTCACAGGACCCAACACAAATCTTGTGGGAGCAGGCAGTTTGAACTTTTCTGTGGGTGGGAGCAGGCAGTCAAAAAATAAACTGCAGGGTTTTTGCGGGATTACAATTATAGACATAAGTTCCTTAATGTGTGAGTCAATCACACTGTCTTGAAATAACTGCTGATTTGTTAAAAATAATCACCACGTGAACAGATCGGACATTAAAGAAGTCCTCTTACATGACTGAACTAGACTGAATCAGCACGTTCATTGGCGTTGCTGGGTCCCACAGGAGGAAGTGGTCTGGAACACACTCATTGCTGGGAGCAGTGTCAAGAAAACAGTCCTGCGCAGGGTTCTACAAACAACCTAACTGACTCCTTTCAATGTGAAGGAGCAACGGTTTTACTCAGAGCTCCACTCGGATGACCATAGCCTCTCTCTAAGGTTGAGCCTAGCCACTTTGGGGAGGAAACTAATTTCAACCGTTTGTATCTGCGACGTCATTATCTTCCAAACTTGAGAGCTTTGCCTTCAGACTCAAAACATTAGTCTGGCACTATGCCTGTGCTTGGCCGCACCCACCTCACAGTTGATCTTGTGCTGCAACCTACCTTATGAACAAGACTTTACTTGGGACAGCAATCCACTATTTTCCAACAGCCTCAGAATTAGAGGTTTATCCAAAGTGATTCACACTCCGGTGCCAACCATCCATGAGTTTCAGAATTGCCCAACCTTAGCATGTATTTTGGTGACCTCCCATAGTCTTTATTGTAATAAACTAAGTTTAGTTAGTTTACTAAGAATATTATGTTTTGTTAAACTGTTTTCTCAGGGTTTTTTCATTGGGTCCCTCTTCTTTTGCTTTGTGGCTAATATAATAATAATACGATATGGGAGTAAAATATGTTCTTTTCTGTTTTGAATGTGAAAATGAAAATGGACTTTGCCAATAACATAGACAGAAATGTTGGAAACAAATAAAAAAACTACCAAAGAGGAGCTTAAAGTTGTATTAAAAAAAATGAAAAAATTAATCATAACAAGGATGAATACCAATACGTCAGTTAACAGGTGGAGGAGGAATATTAGATCAAGGTAATTTTGCAGTTGTCTGCATAATGCATACAAACCAGGGCCAACTCTGACAAATCGCCCACTTCTCATATTACATTAAAACAAATGATATCTTCATGATCGTTATACAAAATCATTTATTGTGCAGCTGGGAGCCGGGAGGAAAAATCACAGCAACTGTGGGCTGGAAGCAGCAGTTGAGACGGGTGATGGCCATATTTAATGCGTGTTTAATGTTAAGTATTTCTTTCATTCCCATCGCTCCACATGTTAACAGCACGCAGTTCTGAGCGCTGAATGTGTTTATTACCCCACACATTTCACAGGTCTTTACCGGCGGTGGGGCCTGCCTGATTAAGTCATGGCCATTAGCATCATCACCATTAGGCGCCTGATGGCACAGGGAGTCGGACTGCGGACGTTTACGATACCCATGGGACTCTCTGTTGGTGTGTATCTGTGTGTGTGTTGTGGGAGTCAAAGCATGAAATCAGTGGTGATAGATTAGCGGTTCAGATATAAAACACAGCTGCGTAGCGATAATGGCATCAGGGTATCTGCACATTCAGAGACAAAATTTCAAAGACATCAAATGTAATCTCATGTAGCATGAATCTGAATTTAAAGGTGCAGATATACAACTGTTGATTAAAGAGCACGCAATAAAGGAAAAATATGTTTGTCACATTAAAACCAAATTCTGTTTTGATTTACTGGAATGCCTGTGGTCAGAACTTGGGTTAAATGCAAGTTCATGGTTAGGGGTTCGGCCATCATTGGCACCACTCACCATCATTGCAGTATTTTGCACATTCACAGAATGTTGCTACACCCATATGCAGTATAGTACTTTTTTCTTTCTTTGACATGTGTATTTAATTTTAACATCAACTCTTAAAGAATCTATAGAATGTGTCAAAAACACTATGTATTGATACAGTCACTCTGGGTAGAAGATCAATAGAATTTTACAGAATCTGGATCCAGTATCAAATTCCCTCCAAAATGAGACCTTGCCTGACTTTCTCTGTTGCCTATGACAGCTTGTGGACTGATTTCTATGTAAGGTTTTGGATCAGGAAATCCAAAGGATGTGATGCTTATGCACATGACAGAGTACCTCCTCTCTACTCTGTCCTCTTCCTCTCGTGCGCCTCCTCCATCCTCTCCTCCTGCAGTTAGCTCCAGCAAGACAAGCTTTCTTGTGGCTTCAGAGATCAAGATGATGTCTGATCTTAACAAGGACTGGGTGATGTGTGGTGGGATTTTCAGCTGCCTCTCCAGGTCAACTGACATTGCCAGTTTTGTGCCGTGGAAAGCAAACCAACAGAGCAGTTCTTGGGCTTTTTCTGTGGCTGCTCTCCCTCCTGACAAACTCATCCATCTGGGCTGTAGTGTGGGTGTATTGGCTGTCATTGATCCCCCTGATGATTGCCTCGGTAAGGGACTTAGGACCGGGTCTTGTCTCCAGATATAAAAGTCCCTCCGCCCAGTGCTTTGGAGAACCTGCTCAGGATGTAGTTGACCCTTGCCCTTTATTGGAACACAGCATGCAGGTGTTTCCACTTTGCCCCATGTGAGCAGGTTGAATGGGCTGGGAAAGACCTCGTAGACCACCTGAATCAAGAACTTGGAGCGCAGTAGTATTTCTATCCTGGGTCTCAGGAGCATTAGTGAGTTTTAAACTATTTTTGAGGCTTTTTGTTATTTCAACTCATGGTGAGAGACAGTAAACTATAGAGAGTAGTGGAATGATATCAAAGGCCCTAGTGTATATTTAAAACCAGGATGTTGTGTTTACATGGTCCATACCAGCCAGAATATGACCATAAATACCATCTGAGCTATTCCACCAATGCAATCCTGAAGGAGCACTAAATCCATGTCATCGTTTTGCTAAAAAATTGCCAGACACTGAATATTGACACAAAATCCCTGCTTGAATCCAAAAGAATTTCTGTTTTTTACAGAGCTGTGTTGGTGCTACAATTCTACTGCTCGGCCTCAGTAAGGGCCTGAATGGTAAATGTGGGCTGACAGCCGTGCAAATACCAGCAGGCTGGAATGTTCTGGAATGGTCTCTGTCTACAAAGCAGATGTTTGACAGAAGAACACGGCACTCCTCTAACCAGGTTGTGATAGTAGGCCAAGAATGTGTGCATGTGTGCTTTCCTCAGTTTTGAACTAGGCTGTTGGTAATGATATGTGGTATGAGCAGGGGTTCCTAACCTGGGGTTCATCACCAGCCGTCTGAAGAAGTAGGTCCAGGTGATGTAGTCCATTGCATCCTGTTTGGATGCGATGGTTCCTGCAGCAATCTCAGCATTCAGATGGTCTGACAGCACATCGAGGAGGCTGGGGACACAACACACAATCACAGAAAGATTACTTACAGACAGATTTATAATTTGAATATTTGCATTGAAGATTACCAGGAAGATAAGATAAGATAAGAAAACCTTTATTTGTCCCACAGTGGGGAAAGATGTGATCTTATAACAATTATTAGCATTATTAATACTCATTATTAGTATTCATTCATTACTCTTCTGTTATATACTGTACTATACATATTTGAATGTCTTATTTTCTATATATTGTTATATACTGTAATACAATGGACATATTTTACACCCTCTTAGTTTATATATTTTTTATATATTATTGTTATATATTGTAATTGAATGCACATATTTCTATTTCTAATAATGTCTTGTTTAACAACTTGAGCAACTGTAACGCAACCAATTTCCCCCTGGGGATCAATAGAGTCTGATTCCCTTTTGAATCCTGCGTAACCTTGCACTTTTTGTCCAAACACGGCAACTTATCCCCTTATTTGCCCAGTCCTCTGAGCATAAAGTCACTAAACTACTAGCAATTGTAAAAACAATTTTTGCAATTTTCTCTAGCAATTTCAATGCAAAATAATGTCTAAAAACATTGCAACATGCTTCACAATTCTTTAGAAAAGCTGCTGTGAAATCAGACATTTTATAGGCTGCAACAATCCTCAAAAAGAAATCCTGGAGGGACTGAATAAGTCTGTAGCTGTAATTCCTTAATCGCTTAGCTGATCAACAGCACATTCTTTGCCAAAAGGTCTGATTATCAATTAATTATTCTACTGTAAAATGAATATCCTTGGGTTTTGGACTGTTGGTTGGAGAAAACAAAACACCATCGTGGATTGTGATTTACATTGTTACACATTGTACATTTGACTGACAAAATGATTAAATGATCCATTAAATGAGAGAATAATTGGCAGATTAATTGATTGTTGCAGCCCCAGCAACAAACTGTTAGGACTTCTGGCATCAAATGTGTGGTCAGAATCTTAAACCTGTTCTCCTATTCTAGATAGATCCTGAATTAAATCCAAATGCTGCCATAATTAGGGAAAGTTCTTGCACGGATGCTTATGTTTAGACAACACTTAACATTTGGAAGTTTACTTTATTTTGTTTGGTCTCTAAGTAAGATATGAAAAAAGACTGGTTTGGTATCAGTTTTGAGTCAGGTGAACTAATTTACATACAAAACATTATTATGAAACCTGTGAATGGATAGACTAACCCACAAAGGAGTCTGAAGACATGTTTGACCCTCTTCACAGTGTAAATTAGTCAAACATTTTCAGGTGAGTTTAATTTAGAACTAGCTACTCTTCTGAAATGAAATCTGTTACAAGGTTACAGACAATTTTGTGAAAAAGGAAATCTGTTCTCTGAAGTGGGAATTTAATTCTTCATTAAATTTTATTACATTATTATTATGTTATCATTATACTTATACATTCTAAATTTCTGTTCTATTCTATTTCTCTAGTAATGCATCACTAAACACCTAAACGCACCACAGATCTCTGAGCCAGCACATCTCGTGGTGCAGGGCCTGACAAATCCTGTTAGAGACAATTAGTTTGAACCATTCTGCATTAATAGTGACCTGTTGGGTTCCTGTACCATTCTTTCTCATTAATCTGACAGGTCATTCATTTGTTATGCTGCAACAGCTACACTACCTACTTCCCAGTTTGTTGTGGTCCAGTCTCCTCTTGGTTTTACTATGGATGGATGATGCCTTTCAGGGACATCTCACCAATAACAGCTGCAATTTGGTCACCTATGAATGATGCTAAACTGGGACTTTGTCCCCCTCCTGTGGTACTGATGGCTCTATTGTGTGCAACAACTATGTTTTTCCTGTCACTTTAAAGACAAGCCATTTCTTCACCATGCCACAGCTCTTATTATGGATAACAGTATTCCCTACAAATGTCACCTGCCTGCTGTGCCTATGCTATGTCTGTTTAAGAATATGTGAGACACACAGGTCATTTAATGGTGTGTGTGAGTGGGTTAGGGTTATATACATATATTTCCCACTTTTATAGTGGATTTGGGTTACTAGGTCTTGTTAATGGATGTTGTTTATTGTATACAGCAATTTAAGGGGGCTTTTTGTGAACTCCACAGGTGGATGTACACATGTTTGATGAATAATATCTTGCTCATAGAAGAAGTATATATGCACAGCTTTAGACTTGTTCAATGGACAGTCTGGTAAATTAAGACCCTAGTCTTTGCCATCCCAGACAACAGGCCTCATGCACAATGCTATACACAAACAAAAAAAAGAAACAAATGTTTTAAATTTGAGGAACATAAAAAAAAGCATGAATATTATATAATCTATCTATCTATGTCTAATATCACATAATTAGATTATGTGTTTTAGAGTAATTATAGTGATGGGATTATTAAATTTGTGGGCTAAAGAAACACTAATACTCCATTGATCTCTATTGAACCAATAAAAACACTTCTGAATGGCTTACACACTGCTCTCTACATTAAGAACGTTTGGTGCATCTGGAGCTGACTTCTCTTATGTTTTCTCTTTAGGCCTAATTATGGGAGAAATCTTAATAACTATGCCAACAGACATGTGACTGTTACCTGGACTCAACAGGGAAAGGCTCGTAGAGGAACTTCTTGTAGAAATCCTTCTTGATGTCGTGGACAAGGATAACTGCTTTGCCCTGGTCGTCGAATTGAGGGCGACCTGCTCGCCCCATCATCTGCAGAACATCTACACACACACACAGGGCACACTGTACATTAAAAAAGACTGCTTTTCCACCCTGTATTCCACTGTTCTTTGAATATTCTACAATGAAAAGTGACACTTGGTCTATTCCAGGGCTTTTCCGGGTTTAGCATGGACTAACATATTTAAGTACAGGAAAGTTTGACTGAGGTTGTGACCAAGACTTGCTCAACTGTTATTGAAGCACAGACCAAGAAGGGGCGGGACTTGGGAAGGATCAGCTGTCATTATAGAAGAAATAGGAATCATCCCTCAAAGTTTCATAAGGGATAATTCATTAAATAATCAGATTTCATTGCTTACAAACATAATGTAAACTTGTATACTGTTGTGGTTGATTAAAACAAAATGGACTGTATGTTCAATGAGAATACACCCGATGGACAGGACTGTGTACCTGTAATGGGGTAGTCCACGTAGCGCCTGGACTTGCCATCATAGTATTCCGTTCCCTTGACGACCACCAGATGAGCGGGGAAGTTCACCCCCCAGGCCAGAGTACTGGTGGCAATCAATACCTGAGAGAAGAGACAGGAACTCACTGGAATAATACAACATAGGAGCAAACCTAAACTATACAAGAAATTATATACAGAATGAAAATAAGTGAAAAATAACAGGATAATATCAATAATATCAGGAATGTAAATGCTGAGGAAAACCAGGGAATATAGGTGAAATAGCAATTTTCATGCAGTGCATATATCACATCTATAATGGTTCAATCTACATTCTGCTGTACTTTGCAGTGTGTATGTTACTGTCTGCATAAGGCCTGATCATGCAAGTTTTTCAAGCAGATACACACAGAGCTGACGTGTTTTTCTTTCAGTTTTAACAATATGATCTCGGTCAATGACAAGGTGGTTAAAGAAATACACAGGGTAATAAAAAAAGCTTCTATTTTATTGACTGTGTAGCTCACCTGCCCAGAAAGAAGTAAAGTAAAATTTGACCATAACATGATTTAATAAAAATGATTGGTGTTCCCTGGATCCTGAGGATTTCATTCGTTTAACTCTTACTTCTCGTATGAACACCACAGACGTGGACTCAAGTCACATGACTTGGACTTGATTTAGACTCCAGTCATAAATTTGATGACTTTAGACTCAACTTGACAAAATCAAAAAAGACTTGCAACTCCACTTGGACTTTCAAACCAAAGATTTGTGACTTCACTTGGAAAAGTGAAAATGCTTGAGAACTTCCCAAGCCCAAACGTTAAAAGTATGTCATTTAAAAACTTTCCCCCCTTTATTTCCTAAATCAACTAACATTTAAGGTTCAGTGGGTACGATTTAGTAGCATCTAGTGGTTAGTAGCAGTTGCAGATCAGTGTTTGGGTTTTGGGTTTGAATAATCAGTACAGGATGAGGTCTTACCTGGATCTTACAGTTGACAAACAGCTCCTCCACTGTCTTCCTGTCTCTCTCGTGCAGGCCAGCATGATGCATGCCGATCCCAAAGGCCAGGGTCAGCTTCAGGTTGGAATCCCTTACTGTGGCGATGATATCCTCTATCTACAGACAAACACAGACACAGACAGTGATAGATCAATCACACAAACTGACTGAGTGACTGACAATGGCACCGTGACAACGTATACTAGACCAGACACAGGGATACAGTATGCGCTGGCAGAAAGATGCAAAACTGGAGGAGAGAATGAAAACGTCTTCCATGTTGACCTTTGACCCTTATTTGGAAGTTAAGGTACTCTGCTGTTGTCTGCATAATAAGATGGGGTCCTGCCAAAGCAAAAGGCATTCACTTCCCTTTGATCACTCACTCAGTTAACTGATCACTATATAAAACCAGTATGATAATATTCCCATCTAACTCTGGGAAAGAAAGCAAATAAGTATATTTCCCCAAACATCTAACTTTCCTTTAAAGCCGTTACTGTCTGAAGAGCTTTTTGACACCCTGTAGACAGATCATGAACAGAGAACTCCACAGTGGCAGTTATTCAGCTGCAGACGTGGCTCATTTGCATGGCTCTCCTCTAGTTCCAGTAGGATGGGGGCATCTTGCCTTGCACTATACATATCTATGTCTTCCAGCCAACACAAACAGCTTCTGGGTTGAAGGAAGAAAAAGTGTAACCTGTGCTTTGCCAGAGTAAACAGAGATAGTCAGTGGAGCAGAGCTGCTGGAGTAAACAGAGCTTCTAAAGAATGGGAAGACAGGACAGCATATGTACCAGTAAAAACAAGAAATTTACCTAATAGTGGACACAAAAGACACAAAATCATCAATAAAATCTGTGTTTTCAATGAATTTAATTAATTTAATTATGCCTAAAGAAAAGTATCCTTATTATACAAAGAAAATAGCCACCACCTTTTAAAATTGGATGTATCTCAATAGAGTCAAGCAGTTTAGATTTCAAATATGTGAACAAATCAATTCAAAAATAGGATCCAAGGTAATAATAAGTACAAGAATGGAAGAGGGAGAGTGAAAATCCAGCCCTGAGAGAAGGAGCCGGAGGTTTCAGGCAGCAGCAGAGGGAAGAAAGAGCTGTCAGGTCAGAGAGGGGATTTGGGGCAGTGGGTGACCCCCGGTGAGAGTTAAGCAGTTATCGCCAGAAGCCTGTCAGTCAAACAGCGGGGAGCTGAGCTGCTACATGGGCCAGCGCAGAGCAGCAGCAGGCAGCGGCATATATCAGCAGAACACACACGAAGGCCGGGGATGCTGTGCGCACACATATAGAACCTAGGCCTATGTTATAAGACAGTGCATATTTGCATTGAGACGAGGTATCTGCAGGGTTCAGGAAAGCAAATTCAGGACTGTGTAACGCTTCCATATGTATCATTTTAAAACTTGAACGTATCATGGTTGAATTAATAATGCTGCTCCAGGTAGACTTATAGTAAACAGAGAAGGTGATGATTGAAATGATTGTCAGGAAGTGATTTTTCCATTTGCCTTTTTTCTATTTTTGCCAAATTACAGCAAAAATTTGGCATTATTTCCTCTAGAAGATCAGCTCTCAAGCTGTATGGAGCTATAAAACAATGGCCCTTTGTGCCACAGAGCAATACAGAAGATTTAGTGGCTGAAAGCTCAGAGATGATATTTGAGACACTTTGTTTATGCAAATTGCAGCCGCAGTGTTCCTATGTCTCAAAAACACTGATTATACATTCTAAATCTCCAGGTAGCACATTTAAATGTTTTTGAGGTTGTATCTTAACGGTTATGTTATATATATATATATATGAAATTCACTTGCGACTACATATTGTACTAGAGCACCAGCATCTCAGACCTAAACAATGGGACAGAAACAAAATAAAACTCACCAAAACCATATTTTTGTCAGTCTTTCTAACAATCACCGATACTGGTTTGGTCAAAATAAACCCTTAATTCACAGAGCTAGGTGTGGAAATATTAATGGAAACGTCAGGAATCGCCATCAGAGTCAGTCCACTAAAAGTTGTTGTTTTTGCAACTGACAGATTGTTATTCTAAAATTTTGACAACATTATGGAAAAGATCCCTACAGAGACAGACCTTTAACCAGAAACAGCCGTAATATTGCTATTACTCTCCACCAGACTCCACAGATAAAAATAGAAATTTTACCTAACAGATCATCGTAACTTCACTCTGCACAGAAACAAAATACAATTCACCAAAACTATCTTTGCTAGTCTTTCCACTGTTCCAACAATCACCATCTCCGGTTTTGTTTAAATAAATCCTTAATTTACCCACGTAGATGATAAAAACAGCAGTTTCAGTTGCTTTTCTTGGAGCAGACCGGCTATGGACACAAACCACACAGAGGCTGTGATAGCAACACAGGCAGA